AGACACATTTACTTATTATATCACTGATAAAATAGGCAAATTGATTAAATCATTAGCTATAGGGTTCAATTCAACCTCTAGTCCCTCTTTCCTCTTGAGATGTCAGGGGGTGGGACTGAAAGTTCCAACCCTCCAATCACACTGGCTCCACTGGCAATCAGCCCCCATCCTTACGTTACCTACGGGCTTTCCAAAAGTCACCTCATTAACTAACAAAAGACACTTTGATTGCTTTCAACAGTTGGGAAGTTCTAAGATTTTAGGAACTCTGTTCCAGAAATGGGGACCAACACCAAATATATATAATTATAAATCACAAATCACATTGTATTACTAATTTTTTGATGTAGATGTTTAAACAATTTATATTCAGCCATTATTTCCTCATATATGCTTTTAAGGCTAAAAAGGAAGGAAGACATTACTATTTTCTCAAGTTACAGAGATCATTCGTGTTGATAACGATAATGATGGTGGTGGTGGTGGTGGTTCTAAAGATACTATGGGCTAGTGTTTTTTATATGTTTCTTAAATGCTTTCTTACACATTCCTCATTTAATCCTCACAATAACCCCACGAAGAAGGTAATATAGTTGTCCTCATTTCACGCGCATGACTGGCACAGCACACAGAACTGTGTGATTTTTTCAAGTTACAGCCACATAAAGCAAGATGGCCTAATAACACTCTTGTCTCAATTTCTTTTTTTGTGTGACTCTGAGAAAAGAAGAATTTAGAAGAACGTTTTTCATATAGTATTAGAACAGGAATCAGGTGACTTTAGAACTTGAAAGTGGGCTTCAACTTAGAGAGCTGATTTATAAGGAAAAGTTAGGGAAGTGGATGGCAGGGACAGGGGTGTCACCGACATGGTTTGTGTGGGGTCCACAGACATCTGGCAGATTCCTGTCCCAGGGGTCCTCAAGCGTCCAGTTGCTGCCCTTTAAAGATAACAAAGAACATTCCTTTCTTAATACCCACCTGCTTTAGCTGAACTAACTACTCTAGACAATGATCAACCTTACGGTGACTGAAAGCCTGGTCACCAGGACCGGTCACAACCCGCTACCCAAATCCCCAGCCCTACCCTCTCGGGACCCCCGTCTCTTCCCTGTTACCTCAGTATCAAACAATCAGAGAATTGTGCACGAGCCAACCACGGACCCCATGACCCCTTTGTGCCTCATGTCACATCAGCACAAGCAGTAAAAGATCACCTTCTCTTATAAAAGACCTCAGCAACCGACCCTTGGGGCACACAGACACCTCTCATCTCTGGCCCACTGCTGCCGTGACAGTGTATCTGATAAGCAACTTTACTATCTTCATCCTTTGTCTTTGGTAAATTCTTTTACTGCCCACTTACAGCCCACTGAAAACCACAACATTAGGAGAAGAGTAATAGCAGTTCTCAAAAAACCTAGTAAAGCCCGAAGTATAAATGAAATAAACATAATAAATGAATACACTTAAAAATGGAGAAAAGAAGCAAATCTTTCTTACAGAAGAATTCCAGATTAT